GCTGACTTAGCACCTTGGCAGCGAGCGGATATTTATGACCATCGTCTTGTACTAATTGTTTAATTGTTCGCATCGCTAGAAAGGGTGCGGACTTAGTGCCATATGTTATGGTACAAAGTTGGTATTCATTTAGGGCAGTGTTGCTCTCCTCACGCCAGATGATCTTCTGCAGCCTCTGATCTTCCTCATGTATGCGAATTTGCCTATAAAATTTTTCAATATCCGCTGTGTAGACAAATTGATAAGTACGCCACCTCAAAATCATAGCTTGAAGATCTTGTTGTAAGTTTGGACCGCATTCCATCAGCTCGTTAAGGCTATAACCCGATTTTGTTTTTGCTGACGCGTTGAACACTACACGCAGCTTAGTTGTAGTGGAATCAAGTTTGAAAACTCCATGGTGTGGCAAATAACAGCTGGGGTCACTAGATTGTTTACATAGTTTCATGTGACCTAGTGTCACATATTCATCTATGAAACTCTTATACCCATTTGCCAATGTTACATTGTTCGCTAGTCTTTTTTCTAATTGTCTAAATTGAGCAATTGCCTGTGGCTTTGATGCCCCTAAATTGTTAGCGAATTGTTTTTTCATGGGAATTCGCACTTCATATCTGCCGTCAGATAATCTTCTTGTTGTATTTTGGTATAATTTCTCGCAGTACTCCTCTTGAGCGGTCATAGGGCTTGAGGGTTGACTCTCAGAAATCTCTTCAGATTCCCAAAATAATGATATTTCTTCTAGGTTGTTCAATACGGCGTGACAATTAAACGTGGTGACGTTGCCCATCAATACCCACCCCATTTGGGTCTGTTGTGCAATAGGCGCGTGAGGGGGCCCGCGGAGTATACCATCTTGCACTATTTCAGTATAGACGCTCGCATCAAGAAGAATATCAATAGGTCGCGAGATGTTATAGTCTGGATCGGCTAAGGTAATGTTGCGTAGATGTGGCCAGTTTTGCTGCTCAAACGAGTAGTTTGGTAAACTGTTTAATACCTTTTTCATTACTAACGCCTCAATAGTGAGTCTGTAATCGCTATATAGGGATTCGCAAACTAGTTGTATCGTTCCATGACTCTCATTTGATGATATTCCAACGCCTAAGACAGTTGCTTGTTGTTTGCGCCTGGGTAGTCCCAAACGCTGCGCCGCTGACTCAGTTATCAGACTGATTTGTGACCCTTGATCGAGTAAACATCTCATTATTAGATATGTGCCATCAACAGCCATGATTTTTAGCTGAACCGTAGCCAGTAGTACTTCGCTATGGGTTCCGGCCACGTGATTGACATTCCGAGGCAAAGAGTCTGACGTTGTAGGTTGCTTGTTGGCTGTAGTCGCACTGTTGGTTTCTGACCTAGATATTTCCGTGTCAATCACCTCGTGTAATATGGTGTGATGTCGATCATTGCAAATCTTGCATGTTTTATTCGAAGTGCATTCTTGCCCATTGTGTGAAAACATTCAATTTGTGCAAATTTGCAATTGTTTTAATGTTTTCAATTTAATTTCTGATGTCATGTTGCGAAACACCTTGCAATAAGCAAGTATGTGACGAGTTTTACAAATAGGACAGCTTCTTTCCGCTTGTGCAATACAAGATTTTGAGGGCAGTTTAAATCTTCCACTTGTTGAAATATGTTTTGATGTAAATTCTTTTACTGGCGCGCTGTTTTGTTTGTGTGCAAAGTTTTTATTTCTCTTAATAGGTTCTAATGCCGTAAATTTCGTTTCCAGAAACCCTATTAATTCATCAAAGGAGGGCAGCTCCCGTGGAGTTTTTCTACTCTCCATGTAGGACGCATATGTTTCGGGGTCCAATTTTCCAGTCAAAATGTGAACTAAGATTGGATCCCATGTAGTTGTATTGACCCCCAGATTGTTGATCGCGTGGATTGTTTCCAGACTGGTGTCATGTAACCGTTTTATCTCAAACGCTGTTTGTTGTTGTACTGTGGGTTGATTCATAAATATTTGAATTTGTTTTGAAAAAAGTAACTGTATGTTGTTATATCTATGAGTCAGTATGTCCCAGCACGTGTCATAATTTTCGGCAGATACATTCAAATGCTGAACGAGCCGCTCGGCTTCGCCACGCAGTTTGCCTTTAAGATGTTGCATTTTTTGACCCCTTGTCAATAACGAGTTGTTATGTATCGCTTCCGAGAACAAATCCATGAACGTTGGCCATTGAGCGTAACTACCGGAAAATGTAGGTATTTCAATTTGTGGCACAGTTTGATACCGATGTTTTGAAATATTCAACGCAGTGTTTAAGTCTCGTTTAGTGGCCTCAAACAGCGTTTCATGTTTTGTATACTCTTCTTCGTAACTCACGTTAGTACCGACTAGTAAATTGTCAATTTGCCAATGCAATTTATCTATTATTTTCCATCTAGCCTGAAGCATCTCGAGTTTGTCTTCAATTTCCCACTTCTCCTTAATATCGGATATGTTAATATTCGTGATGATTCTCATGAAAGCTCGAAAGTTAGTACTTTGTTGATTAATAAGCTCGTCTGTGTTAGAAGGTATCCCCTTATCCTCAGTAGATGAAACTTGCCAGTTCTGTAACAACCCACGTATCGTTTCATATTCCTGTTTAACCTTTTCATAGGCCTTGCTGATGAAATAATCATCCGTTTTTCGCTCTGTAGATGTCGAGAGTATGGTGTTATTAAGGTCAAATTGAGTCCATAATTCCTCGACCACTTCCAGCCTTTCACTGATGTACGCAGCAGTTTTTCGTTTAGCTGAATCCTTTTTGAAATTGCTCAAAATCTTCCTGATAGATTCAGATAGAATTTGTTGTTTTTGCATTTTTGCTTCCATAGCGAGTCTTGTAGATACCTAGTATCGCTCACGCTGGTATGTTGTTTGTTCAGTGATATGTGTGATCGCAATATTCTACCGGGTATGTGCGACGCTCTCAATTGAACTGGTGAGACCCGCTTGTGGGAGGCCAGCCAACCGATTCGCTACCACAGTAAAACACACGACACACTTCACAAAAACCCTCGAAGGACCAAAATGTTGGGGCTGTTATTATATTTTTCCCAACATTTAATGTTGAAGTTTGTTTATAGTTGAAGTTAGGTAAAAAAATACCAATGTTGCAGTTATGAGCGTTTATTAAACACTAAAATTCACTGTATAAATTAAAACCTTATAAACCACAATTTCGCTGACTTAGCTAAGTACGAGTTCGTACAGTTCTTGTTATTCGGGCTAAGATTATTTTGGCAAATATTTTATAAATATTGGACATTAGACTAATAGGTCTATTGTTATTTATTACGGTTTTATCACCCTTTTTGTGGAGCAGGATGATGGTTGATACAGTCCTCTGTGACGGAATAACTTCGGTATTCAGTATATCATTAAAAATCCATATTAGTAGTGGTGCAATGTAGTTTCTGCAACTTATAAGCAACTCATTGTTGATCTGGTCGGGACCAGGGGCTTTATCATTCTTCTGTGTTTTAATTGCCTTATGTATTTCATCTTCTAGTATCCATGGCACTATGTCATCATTGCTTAGTTCGGTAATTTCAACTTTCAAATCAGGTTTTTGGAGAATTTCGTAGCTATTGATAGAATATCTAATCTTTTGGTATTTGTCATGGAATGTTGGTCTTTCATATTAGCTATCCAGTTGGTTTTGTCTGATAAAACTTTAAGAGCCTTTTTTATACCACCGGTCTTGTTGATGAACTTTTCAAAGGTGTCGAGTCTAAGGTATTCTCTATCTTTTCTTATTTGTAATTTTATTTCTTTGCTCAATTTCGCTATTTCTTCTCTGATAATTTTCGTTTTATTTGGAATGCTAATTAATTTTGATCGTTTTTCTAGGAGTTCTCTGGATTTTTCTGATATATATCTCTTATTGTATGGTTCGACTTCGATGTTGGTTTTAGGTCTTGCTATTAGTATTTCGTGTATTATATTGTATTTCTGTTGGGTGCTTAGATACCCAAGAGACGATTCTGTCACAGAGTTGAGATTTTCTTTTATGGTTCCTATTCTTAAATCGTTATGTGGTATTGTTATTTTCGCTTTGAAAGGCCGGCTTGGTTTTAGAGCAGATGATGTGTTGAGACATGTTCTTAGCATCCTATGGTTGCTATTAAAGTTGAGATATGCGATGGTGCCACAGTCGTCAAATAATTTGGGTCTGTTTGTTAGCATGTAGTCTATCTCGTTTCTATACCGACCATCTGGGGATATCCATGTCCATCTATTAGCAGCTTTCTTCTTGAAGTGACTGTTTAGTATTTTCATGTTATTTTCGAACGCCATTTCTATTAGTTTTTTTTAGTGTTCCTTGTTCTTTCCCCGCTACTGTATGGGCCCAGGACGATTTCTTCTTCGTTTCTTGGTTCTCCAACTTTTGCATTAAAATCACCCATGACAATGTAGTTTTTTTGTGCGTGTTCTTTTATAGCAGTTTTGAGGTATGAGTAGAATGACTCAATTTCTAATATCGTGGACTGTTCGGTTGGCGAGTAAATTTGCACTATGGACCATACTTCCTTGCTTATCTTTATGTTTAATATAGCAATCCTTTCTGATATGCCAATTATTTGTGTGATGAAGGTTTTGAGTGTTTTTCTTACTAGGAATCCTACTCCATGTCTTCCTGGTGTTTCGCCTTTGTGGTACAGTATGAATTGGTCATGCTCTTCAATAGCTTCACCGAGTCTTCTTACTTCGCTCCAGCCGATAATATCCCACTTTATGTCTCGTATAGAGTATAAAAGTTCTTGTAGGCGTTCTTCAGTCCTTAGAGAGAGTATATTGTATGTTGCTATATATAGGTATTCCGTGTTTTGCTGCTTTTTGGTTCTAGACGCATTCGTTTGAGATAAAGGGATAGTGTTTGGAGGGTAGTGGTCATCTTCCCCCACGGTGACCGGCCGTATTGGAGTGAATGTGTAGGTTGTTGCGCCGTTAACATAGTCTTTCTTCGTTGGTTTCGGTTTTCCGTTGTCGATGTCTATTGATCGTTTTTTGTGGTTGGGGGCGTTGACAGTGATGCGGATCTGCCCCGTACCATATAATTAAGCATATTATTTGTCTTGTTAATCTTTTTTGGGGCCAACGTGGGTTGGTTATTAGGTGAAGTGCTGCAGTCTCTTTTCCTCTTATCTCTTTTGTCATCTTTCGACTCCTTTATGACAATTTTATCTTTGACAAAGTAACAGATTTTGCCTTTTGCCTTTTCTTCCTGTAGCTGAGGAAGAAGCTCTTTCCTTTTCTCTAAGATTTCTTTGCTGAGATCTTCCTTGATGTATATTTCATGATCCAGTTTCTTTTTGTTTTTGAGAATTTCATTTTTCCTCCAATTTGTTGTAAACGTTACCAGGATGGGGCGAGGTTTGTTATCTTGTTTTGCTCCTAGTCGGTAGACGTTGTTTATTTCTTGAGGGTTGATATGAATGTTCATATATTTTTCTAGCAGTTTTGTGATGGAGTCGATTGGGGACTTATTGTTCTGTTCTTCTTGCATACCAAAGAAAATAATGTTGTTTTTTCTTTTGTGATCTTCCATTAACTTTATCTTGTCTTGTAAGCTCTTGACTTCAGTCTTCAAGTTATTATTTTCTTTCACAAGAGTAGTTAATTTTTCATTGATACTCTCGGATACTTTTTTGGTGACGGCTTCGGTTATCTCCCGCGTTTGTGCTGACATTTCTTGTTTCTTTTTTTGCCAAAAAGCATCCATTTGTCGTTCCATATTGAAATGTTTTTGCTTGGTATACTGGATCAGTGTTTGTAATACTGGTTTATTATTGGTAACCCTAAGTTGAATTTGGCAACCCCGGTTTTGAGTTAACAACACTTGCTTCAAGTTGGCAGCACTAATTTGAAGTCGGTAACACTGGTTAGATTCGGCAACACTGGTTTCACCTTGGTAACACTGTAGTCTATGGTTGTATTTTTCTCGGTAAGTTGGTATTCAACTGTCAACGTCGATGATGATTTATTTTCTTAACCTGTTTGGCGGTTTAAGTATCGAAGTGAATGTTTTATCGTGCCATTTGGTTGTCCACTGTATATTCACCACTTTTTATTTGATTAATGATAGTTTTCAGTTGTTTTTTGTTGATTTTGACAATTGACATTGTTATGATTACTGTGGTGGAAATTCAAATAATATAACGGACAATTCTTTTCACTTTTACGTGTTAATTAGTTTAGAGAGTTTATTTAGTATTTCCACTGTAAAAGTTTTTGTAGTTTTATGAGATGTTTTTGCTATGCTGTTTTATATATGTTTTCAGCTTTAAATTCACTGTTTATTTGGTTACACTGTTTTTGTTGACAAAATAGTTATTCACTTATTTCTGTTTTTGCACTGTACATACATGCTCACTAACAATAGACGGTGATTGTTGAATGTTAAGTCACTGATATATAACATTTACGCACCATATCTCACTAACTAAGTATTTTAATATAATTTTTAATTAGGAGTCGATGTCAACATCATATGACAGCTGACAGATACGTCACGATACGTCTACGATCTGGTTAAAAGCTTTTGTTAAATCGATGGTAGAAAATATTGTGCAACCAGAAATAGAGTGGGAAAAATCGTGGATGTGCCTAATCGGGTAACGGTCTGGAATGGTCCGTGCGTTGAGCATACGGTAATCGCCACAAGGGCGCCAGCCATCCTTCTTAGGCACTAGGTGTAGGGGTGAGGCCCAGGGACTTTCAGAAGGACGGGCCGTCCCATTGTCCAACATAAGCTGAAATTCCTGTCTGGCAATTTTTAGTTTATCTGGTGCCAGTCTGCGGGGAGTACATGATATAGGAGGACCAGGTGTAGTCCTGATGTGGTGTACTGTGTTATGTTTCACAAGTGTGGGTGTACCTGAAGGGCGTGTAATGTCAAGAAACTTACTCAGAATCTTGTGAAAACGCGTGTCACCCGTCGAGACCTTAACAGAAAATATATTAGAACGAGCAATACAAGCATTAGTACAAAGGGTTGTGGTAGTATCCACTAAGCGTGGGGTGCTACGCTAGAAAACCTCCCCGTGGTGCACCCTGGAAACGCTGGCGATGGCACTGTTTTCTCCTTGTTCTCTTGGAGGAGAGGATTATCGCCAGCGGCTAATATTCTAGCAGAAGAGGAAGCCGTTCATCGGCTCTCGGGCAAGGCCTGGTCCAGCAGGGTGGGCGTGTCTGCCGATTGCCCTGCTGGCTCTTCGCTCTTCGGAGCATGGAGGAGGAAACCTCGGTAAAAAACGAGAAGGTGGGGCCCTATAGGGGCCAGTTTCTCCGCTGTTAGCGGTTGACAAAGGAGGACGGGCTCGACGTGTACTGACACTACCACCGAGCAGGCAGGGGGACGTAGTCTCCTTGTCACCGTACCGGCATATCGTAATCCCTAGTCGCTGATGTCAAGTCTCGCGGCTCTGATCGGAGACGAGGGTCTTGGCTTAACCGCCCGGACCGCGAGGAAGAAAACCTCTCTAAAAAATTCCCCGAATCCCGTGTTCTGGTGCGTGGCCAGGGGATGCATGGCTGATGGGTAGTTCAGTCGTAAGCGCACTCCCAGCCGGGGCACTTGCGGACCCCTCGGTTGGGCATAAATTTACGCTTGAGGTCCCCCAGTTGAGATCCCCCAATACCCGGGATTGGGGGATCTCTGCCCGGGTGGACCTTTAGTTCTCCCCCACTCGTGGGTTTAATTATGGAAGATAAAATTAAAAACAAAGGATCGAAAATAACAACGACAAAGGCGAGCAAAATGGCACAGGAAACGGTGGGATGCAAGGAGAAGGACGAATCGAAGAGGAGGAGTGGTGGAGTGGATCTGGCGTCCACTGAGGGTGAGGTGGTGTCGAGAACACCTATCTCGGTGGGGCTCCCAGTAGTAGTCTGTAGTAGACTGACTGCTGGGAGCCGAAGATCGGAGCGTTTGCGCTCCAAATCTGCCACGTCTGGCGAGAGTGGCGGCTCCAGCGAGAGCATGGAGGTGGAGGCGGGTCCGAGCGAGAGCCGGAAACGCGAACTCTCGCGGGATGGGGAAGATAACCCCTCCGTGGAGTCTGGGCCTCCTAAGGGCGGCCGCATAGGGAGGTCGTGTACCCCTGTCCCCGTCCCGTCAGGGTCCGCCTTCTCAAAGGCGGATTCCTATAGACGGGTACGAGCGGACGGCGAGGCCGTAGCGGAGGAGGAGATCGCGGGTCTCCTACTCAAGATTCCGGAGCCGGTGGAGGGAGATGCCCCCCTGGCGCCTGTGTCTGTGCAGGAGAGGGCGAGAGCGGCGGTGGCCATTATTCAGAAGGTAGCCACCAAGTCGGTTAACCTTAAGGGCTCTTTTGTGAGGGCCCTTAAGGACTCCTCCTCCGCTATGTCGGAGGTCGTGGAGGGCCTAGTAGGCGATGTGTCTCGCCTACAGATGGCCAATGACAGGCTGACGGAGCGGGTGAACGAGTTGAGCGCTCAGCTCGCCCGCTTCCGGGCGAACCTCCCCGAGCGGGGGGTCGCGTCCACGCCCCAGCCTGTCAGTAACGCGACCTCAGGGGTACCTGACGCCCAACTGCGGTCAATTCTTGACGCAGTTGGGCGTATGCTGGACCCCCTGGCCCCTCCGCACCTGCCCCCTCCAACAAGAAGGCTCACAGAAGTCCCGAAGGCGGGCTAGAAGGGCTGTTCAGAAAGAAGCCCAAGCCCAGCCTTCGCCACCGGTGGCAACGGCCTCTAAAAAGAGGCCGCGGAAGCTGCAGCCGCCGAAAACCGCGGCTGTAGTCCGTCACGTTGTCGCCGGAGGCGGCCAGTGGCGGGTTCACGTACGCGGCCCTCTTCAAGGGGGCCCGTCCCGGTCTCGCCACTGAGTTCGGGACGGCAGGGATGAGGTTGCGCCACGCCCAGACGGGAGCTCGGGTTTTCGAGTTCCCTGGGGCTGAAGGCGCGGTGACGACCGACAAATTCGCCGAGAAGCTGCGGGGAATTTTCGCCACCACGGACGGTGTGAAGATCGCCAGGCCCACCAAATGCGCAGAACTGCGCATCTCGGGCCTGGACGACTCCATCACGTCGGAGGATGTCCGCGATGCAGGCAGTCATGGAGAAGACTGGGTGCACCGCGGACACCATCAGAGTCGGCACCGTCCGTCCGGGTCCGGGAGGCCTCGGTGCGGTGTGGGTCAGCTGTCCCGTGGCGTCGGCTAAAGCGTTGGGCGACGCCGGAAGCATGCTCGTCGGCTTCGTGAATGCCAGAATCACGGTTCTGGCCGCGAGGCCGATGGGGTGCTTCAAGTGCCTAGCCGCGGGACACACTCGCACCAGGTGCGAGGGCTGTTTTGACTGCAGCGGTTTATGCTTCCGCTGCGGTCAACCCGGGCACAAGGCGGCAGAGTGCTCTGCCGCCCCTCACTGCCCCGTGTGTGCGGCGGCTAAAAAGCCCGCCAATCACATGATGGGGCAGGGGGGCTGCTGAGGAGGTTGTAGAGACGATCCAGTAATGGATCAAGTATCCAACCTCCTGGTCCAGACGAATCTGAACCACTGTGCTGCGGCGCAGGGTCTCTTCCTGCAAACCATGGCACAGTGGTCGATAGGTGTTGCCGTAGTCGCGGAGCCCTATTTTGTCCCTCCCCGTCCAAACTGGATAGGTGACCGGGACGGCTCCGTGGCAGTTGTCGGCTCCACGGCGGCTCATTCCCCGCCCTTGTCGCTAAGAGACAAGGGTACTGGATATGTTGTCGCCGATTGGGGGGGAATCACCATTTATAGTGTATATTTCTCCCCCCACCGGAGTTTGAACGACTTCGAGGTCTTCCTTAACAACTTGGAGGCCTCGATGCGGCCACCTACTTTTTCAAGGAGTGAGACGTACTGCCGCGGCATGCCGGGTCCGAAGCCAGTCGAGCATTCCCAAAATAAACACGTGAATAAAATCGTATTTTTAATAAATAGATTTTAAAAAGCAAGTGAAGTGATTAGTAGGTAGGTAATAAGAATGTAAAGTTCGCCGCCTCGTCGCGGCGGCGGCGTCGCTTTGATGTCGCCGATATTGCGACGCTGCCGTGTACAGTTTACCGTGGCAATTATTTTATTGTATTTATTTTGTTCTAAATTTGCATTTCTGTGTGTGTGTTATGTATTATCACATAGTGTATAATATGTAACAGAAACGAAATAAATGCCTTTTTTTAACGTGTGGAAACCCCCTCGGGCCGTCACCCCGCCGGGGTAGTGTGTCGGAATCGGACCGCATAAAACACCATGGTGTGCCATTCTGCGCCTGTAATGGGAGAGATCTGGGAACTGCTATTATCAAGACATACGGACCCCTCCTAGCGCCTGCCCGCAATGGCGCGGGCACCACCTTCGGGTACATTCTCTATTTAGGTAACGTCCGGCACATGCGGACGTTACATACTCGCGACTGGCCGTTATGGCGGGTGGAGGGGAAAACTCGTCCCGTCCACCCGCAACCACACTTAGGGTGGCATGAGGTGCTCGTAAGCGCGCCTCCACCGCCTGCTTCGTCGGCGGCGAATTGGGTCCGAGTGGAGATCATCCTCTCGGGCCCTTTTCGCCTTCTGCGAGATGACGTCTTCGCAGAAGGATGCGACCGCGGTAAAACAACTGTCACTACCGGCCATGGAGCGTATGACAGCCGGTAGCGAGAGATCCTCTCCAATGATTGCAATGAGGACCCGACGCTGCGATGCCCAAGCCAGGCAAATTGCCAGCGTGTGCTGAGCCGAGTCCTCACTGCAATCGCAGTGGTGACAGGGGGGACTCAATTCCCTCCTAGCGACCGAGTGCAGGTACTTCCTGAAGCAGCCGTGCCTGGAAAGGACCTGCGTCAGCTGGAAGGAAAGGGTCCCGTGCTGCCGCCCTGCCTACTCAACTATGACCGCTTGGAGCGCCTCCACGGTGGC